CCTCACCACCAAACCCACCTCATCCATCATCTCCGCCTCCACTCGCACAACCACCACACCCACCACATACCCCACCCCCACCACTTACTCCGACATTATCACCACCCACATCGCCCCACCGCAGCCGCTGTCAATGCAACCACCTCAGACGCCTCCACCGCTATCACTACCGTCGTCATCGCCGCCGCCAACACTTCCGCGCCGCCACCCCCACCACTCCGTCGATGGCTACACCATATCCGTCACCACGTCCACCATTGTTGCTATCACCACCTCTATCACCCAAATCCAACTCCAGCTTTGCCACCACCAAACCCACCACCATTTTCTTCCCTACCACCACCACCACCACCAACTGCTTTGCCGTAAGCATCATCCCCACGATATCAGCACGGCCGCTCAGTCCTTCACCACCATCACCACCTCTAGCACCGCCGCGAAGACCGCCGTTCCCCTCCCACCGCCCCCACTAGCTGCTCCGTCGCCGCCCCCGCAAGCTGCCTCGGCGAGGGATCGTGCATGCGGGGAAGACAGGCGCCAGCTCCCTCCCTCGCAATAATAACTCAAGTGCCTTCGCGCGCCCGGGTACAGTCGCGCGCGCCGCCAACGAAGCCCTCGCAGCCGCGGGCAACAAACACCTCGCCTGGGAAGCGTCCTCCTTCGGCGCTCTCCTTTCTGAACAACTGGGGAGGAAGGTTATGTTTTTCACCGCGAGGTAGCATCGCGTTCTTGTCATGATTGAACCAGTCTTCTGATTGTGAGTCAACGCTTTAATCGACTTTGACAGTAGCAGAGAATGCGTGCTCTTTCACCTTCGAAGGATATACTGCTTTTGACTAACTGAATGAAAGAATATGGGTGAAGTTGTTTTTTTTTTAAATAAGCTAAACGTTGTAGAAATTCTTGATAACAGTTGGTGTCTTGTGACATAACTGGAAGGTCATAAGCTGTCTTTACCTTTCCTCTTATGCCTGATGCATGTAGACAACAAGTTTCAACATCTTTGATCTTCTAATACCGACACTCTGATCGGGCTTTGTTTTAGAGTGCTGGGCACGGCCGTGTTGGGTCTCCATGGTACGGTATGCACGTCATGTTACGATGGTGATGATTATAATGTAGAGCAAGCATTGCGGAAAACGATGTCTATGATGGAATTAGAGAGAGAATGAGAGACATAGACAGGGAGAGCCCTTAGGAAATCTGTCGTGAATCCGCATTGTCAAAAAATATCCACAATATGCTGTGGCACACTTAAAGGGAGAGAGGGGGCTCATAGGGCTTCACCCCCACTTTCAGAAACCAATAGTACCTATTCAAAAATAGGGCAAAATAATATTAACTAACTTATACTAACGAAAGTCATTCAATATATCAATTTTTCACGATGTTATTAACTATAAGTGAATAAATAAAAAATATATACTATCAACATCAGTGAGAAATGGTCAAGATGATCGAGATCGTTAAGGCAGTAATGCCGTTGCGGTCTGGGACCAGAAGACCGCGGTTTTGAGTCCTGCCTTGGGTGTATTTGTGTTTGCCTTTATGTGTGTGTGCCGTCCGTTCATCCTTCGCTATCATCATCATCACCATCATTATCATCATCTCATTGTCCATTCCCCAGAACTAACAACTTTGAAAAATATAACTCGGGATTCAGCTAAAATGCTGATCCCCCCAGATAAAGGTATTACTCGCGCAACCTTTCTTGAACGATGACCTTGCTTCCCCCTCTCTCGCATAATCAACAGTTGAAGGCAAAAGCTCGCAGCGAGCACTGATGACAACATTCCAAACACATCTTCACTGGCGCAAAATAGAAACTATTTTCTGTTGAAGACGAGAACTTATATCCGTAATTTTTTTCAAAAAAAAATCTAAAGAATGACCGAAGCAGGTGAAGATCCATCACAGAAGATACCTCAAACTATTGAGAAAGTTAGAACGCAATTTTTTGAGAAAGTTGCGAAGGTATGACTGATTCTCCAGAGATTGGCATTGCTTCATAAAATGTAGTGGCTGATTACGCAACTAATACCCCCACTCTGCTCGCATTTCTTAAATCCGTCGTTCAAGAGAAGTTTCGCGAGTAATACTTGCACCTGCGGAGCAGGATACATGTGTGGTCCGAGTTGGCCTATACGCGAAAAATAAATCAGTGGGAAATTCTTTATAAGAAAACATCATGTCGGCTGGACACTACATCTGCACCCGCCGACTCCCACCCCCCTCTCCCGAGAAAAATCCTGAGGTGCGCCTCTGGCAATGTGTGTGCCCGGAATGTTGGCGTAGGCGCCAGAGGTGAACCATTTTTGCTGCGCGTGTCGCTCCAGTCCCACTCTGGGAAGTGCTGCCGGAGAGAACGCAACGTGGAGGGGACGGCGGAGGAACGGGAGGGGGTGGGGAGCGCGAGGGGCGGAGGAGTGAATCATCGCGAGCCCTGGAATTCGGTGGGGGCGCTCGCAAACGGCGACCGTTATTTGTTTTATTCGCATGGCGCGCGCATTCCGACCTGCCCCTGGAGGACACTTACGTTCGTGCCGACGCCCTCGTCCTCCGCCAACACACAGGTCTTGCAATTTGGCTTGGAAGTGTTCAGAACATTTCCTCTTTTAGTGGTGTACGCGTGATTTTGGCATAGTTTGACACGTCAATTGAATTATTACCACTTCTTTTCACTTTCTCGCCCTAACGTAGGTATTTTGTAAGAAGAGAAAGTTATGTAATCGTGCGCCGGAAGTAGACGAACTTTCGGCAGAAAAACTCTTATTGCCGGGATAAATCCAGTTGCTAAATACAGAAAAAACTCCTCTAAGACGTTGTGTAGCTAGGATCCATATTTTGTGAGTCTTTAATACCGAAAAATCGATTGATGGCAAAACATACTTCTGTGATCACCGCTCGTGCATAAACCGTTCAGCCGATTTATTTTCTTTTTGTTCTTTCTCTTTTACATTCTTCTTCTTTCTCTCTATTAATATTTATCTTTTATTTTTAATTTTCATTTTTTTTATTCTCTACTGCTTCTTTATTGAGGCGACTTTCGTTATTCGTCTTTATTTGGTTAGCATGAGCATTTCGGCCTTTGACTTGGACGTTAGACCTTCGACTGGACGAAGTGAGTTCCTTGCGCTATCAGACTTCCAACAAAATGTTTTAATGACCCTGACGAGTCGATAAAGTAGCATTGCATATTCGTACAGAAATCTGCCTCTTGAGAGATGTAAGAAGTAAATAGTTTGCCGATGACTATCAGAACAAACAGTGATGAGAGTATAAATTAACGAAAGTTTCAATGAATTACGGACCTTCTCGCCTAACAATTCTTTGTTTCGAAATAGCAAAAAGGATTGTTTCTTTCCTTTTATTCTTTCCTTTTTTTACAAATCGTGGAATGATTTGCAGAAGTTGAAAAATAATCTCAATTCGTTTTCAAGAAGAGGAAAAGAATAACCTTTATTTTCGGATGTATGTTTCAACCGTCCCGTAGAAAATCGAAGAGTGGACACCTTTGATAAAAACCCAATCCAATATTGAGTGCACCGAAATCTTCAGCAAGCTACCGTCATTTTTTATTTCAATCCTCTTCCGTTGGATTTGAATTTCGAAAAAGAAAAGTTTATGCATGCATACACGCCTTCCGTTTTGCATAGTCCCCTCTCTCTATCGGCTTCTTTCGGCAACCCTTTTTGGAACCTGTCTTTCACCCTGGGCTTCACCGCCCTTCCGGGACCACCCCTGCCTCGCCCGCTCGCGCGCCCCAATCAGCAGCGAGGTATCGATTGCGCGGCGGCGGTGGTCTCGAGCGAAATAAGAAGCGAGGGTCTGCGGGGTAGAGGCTAGCTCAGAATGTACGCCGGACGCCTCCAGATAGTAGGAATGGGGGCGATGGAGAGCAGACAATGGTGAAAGAGAGAGGGAGAGGAATGTAGAGTGGGGCAGAGAAAGAGAGAGGGGGCGAGAAAGAGAAGGCAAGGGGAGAGAAGAAAGAAAAATGTAAGAAAGGAAATCAGCGGTACGTAATAGAAACAGTGTATTAGTAGTCTGTTATGGATACAAAATTAAATATCGCTGATATAAATGCCCGGTTAAATCGCACATTAGCCAAACGGTGAGATTAGAGCTGTACGAAGGGCGATGAAAGGATCGTTTCAGAGTTCATCCGTCTAATGTTGGTCTGAGCCAAAGAGTGCTGGATAGAGTAAGGTCATTGTCTTCCATATTCGCAAGAGGTATTTTTGCATAAAAATGTGTTGTAAAATTCTTTGCACATTCTTTAAAAATCGGAGCTTCGTTGCCAGCTCGAAATTGCATAGCGAAGCGTAAACTAAATTATGATGTGGGCTATCGGATCGGATTGCTGGTATCGTGGAGCTCGAAATTGCACGTCTTGTCGCTTAATAGCCTAAGAAACTCCCAACTAGCAATATGATTCCTATTTATCACATATCTCCACTTCATTCTCACCTTAAGGTACTTCACCTACTTTAGCCACCTCGTTTTGAATCATGTCAGTTTCATTAGGTTTACGTGAGAAGTGTCCTTCGAAACTGTTCCTATTTCAGACTTTATGCATCCATTTTGGATAACCTGGTTAGTCAAATCGCTGACCTATGAAACATAACAAACTACTCACTGCTCCCACCGAACTCCCAACACTTCCAATCGTCCATGTGCATTCATTGCAAGCATGCAACGCGTGGGACGGTGAAGGAAGAGTCCAAGACCAAACAGCTCATTCTTAAATTTCCCGATTTTTGGCTTACGCGGGCGCAAAAAAAATATTTTCGTCTTCAAAAGCTGGTGTTGTATACACATCGTCGGTTTAGTGTACGGATAATACGTTCAACTTTTCCCCACATTGGTTTTCTTTGTGAAGGTTGACGCTTAGCGCCCTCAAGAAGCAGCTGGCACTGATTGATGCACCATTTGTTTATATTTTCAGTGTTACCGTTTGCCATCATTTAACTAAATGTCAATGTGTATTTTGTTTACAGATGATGTTTGGCGCACAGATTTGGACTTTCTCTTGGTGCACAGTGACCGTTTGGTGGTACTGAGTTTTGTGAGCAATAGTTCAAATCCTTTACCTACTCCCTTGCCGTCGTCTGTGGCTGCGACTGGTGCAGGATCGTCAGCCGCTGTTACCACTCACCCAGCTTGGGGTGCCACGACCACGACAGCTTCCGCTGCCGCTGTGGGAAATGAATCGGGGATAAATAGTCTGCCTCTAGTCGGTAAGTCAAAGAATGATAATATTAGTGTAATTTCTTTGTCATAAACATTTTTTTAAATTATAAATTGTGTGTGTACTCTCCCATCTTTTGACATTAAAATGAGTGAATGCAAGCCATGATCAGCATCTTCCCCAGGAAACCATTTACAGTCAAACTTTAGTTTTCTTATGTTCTCATTTTCGTAGGGTTAGGATTGGTAACGACTTTTTCGTCGACATTTTGGGTCAGTTTTCGTACACAACCTCTGCTTTCGTAGAGCTTTCAAAATGCTCCATACCAAACTCCAACAGCTGCTCTCGTGACTTTACCATTCATATATATATATATATATATATATATATATATATATATATATATATATATATATATATATATATATATATCCAGAACAGATAAATTGGATTTTACATTATTTCGTTCGAGAAACAATTACTCAATTTAGTGCAATTGGTTTTCGTCGGACTTTCTCGAAAGGATTCATCACGAAAACCTACACTATAAAGGAAATCTTCGAAATGGCTTCATCGTACATGTAGTATGAAAAATGACGTAATTCATTGAAATAAAGTTTCACTTTACAATATGATAACTTGCTGCTCAAATACGAAATCAATCCCCTATGACATCCAAGTATGAAAAGTCGAATGTATCAGACACAACTCTTGCAGAACTGCTTGGAAACTGTTTTGTTAATAAATATAATTAACATATTTTACATTTATCATCCTAGATTGTATTTACATCATTAAAAAATCATATTATTTGCTTAATTTATATTATAGTACATTTTCATAAGCAAGGCCAACACTTTTTGTTTTAATGTGAAAACTATAATGATAATGAAATTTTTAACAGGTGATCCTTTAGAAGGAGGAGTAGAACTTCGAACTGCAGATTGGGGCCCTGTCTCAGCAGAATATCTCAATTATGGCCTAGCCCTCCTAGTGTATGCTGTGCGGTACCCAGCTGTGTTTTGGCACACAAATAAGGCGTTTGGAACGTTGTTTTCATTCCAATTACTAGTCAATGGTCTTCAGAGCATGGTTGCCTATGCAGGCATGTGTGTTCTTTATAAGGTAAAGTAGTAATTAAAGAATTTACTATTACATTTTAGTAATATATATTGAAAGTTATATTGATTTAATCTGCACTAAAATAATGTGAAACTAGGACTTAATCAATATTTTTATTTTGAATGGTAATAGAAAGTATATATTTATGTTCGTACATTCCTTTTCTAGGTCCAAGTTCTTGGTGCAAAAGAAGCCTTACCAATGTTACATTTACGCACAAGTCATAATGTTGATGAAGGTTCTCCGTTCATCTTGAATACCCATGTCACGCTCGCCCTCTTCATCTTGTCCAACGTTCTCATCTTAGCATCGAGTCTTGTGCTCTACTTGTATGGCTACGGGAGGTAAGATTATACTAAATCTCTGTAACAAATGCGAATCTCGTCAAAGGCAATAGAATTTAATAGTTTAGAATGTAATTTTACTAAAGATTATCCCATAGTTAATTTTTTTATCGACTCAAGAAATTAGATACTTCTTAACATCCGCTTTAATGATATTTGTAATTACAATCCTAAAATGAATTATTATATTACTTTTGTTAAGATTTTAAAATGTAAGTAGTATGAAATTCATATATATCATCCAAGGGTCAAGGTAATATATATATATATATATATATATATATAGATATATATATATATATATATATATTCAACAATGAGAGAACATTCTGAAACTAATTTGATGGAGGGTACAATGAGGTTAGATAACGACTTTCATAAGTAAAATCGTCATTTCTTTTTAACAAAGTGTATTTTTTTAATTCTTGAATTTTCATTTTATTTTTATTTATTTCTTTTTATTCATGAAAGATGATCATTGCAACGATGCGGTGTCTTTGCAGGTTCACGGCTTTCTTGGACGCTGAGCGAGAACGACGAGTGATCATCCTGCGGCAGACTCGCTCGGGCAGCGGCTGGGGATATTTCACCCACTGCGCCGCCCTCTGCGTCCTTCTGGCCATAGCCGTGTGCAACGCGCCGCTCCTGTACGACTACACCGTCGTGTACCGCTGCAGCCTGGACAACGCGGTCCTCGCTTGTGTCATCGGAGCGATCCTGCACTTGTTCCTGTGGGTGCTCTTGTGGCTCATCCTCACCATAAAGCAGAGATGGGCCTTCAAGCTGCGAGTGACCGTGGGACGAGCCGCTGTCAAATCCGCCCGTTCGATCCGCCTGGTCACGGACGTTGACCTGGTGTCGGCACGAGACGGAAGTGGCAGTTCTGCGCCGCTTTTGGTAGTGGGAAACGGCAGAACCTACACAATTTCGGATACTTCGCCAAAGAAAGCTATCATGAGCGTCATCCAGAAAGCTGCCTTGGACCGGAAAGCTAAAGCTTCTCAAGGTAATGTCAAGCAAAATATTAATTTTGGGGTTGTCGTTGTTGAATCTAACGATTGGGCTCTTGAAACGATGTCCCATCCCCCACACGGGCGATATTGCTAGAAATGTGTCAGTTGGTGCCACGTGAGTTTTGAATGTTACCATGCTATTTTTGATTTATTGTCGGAGCTAATACGGGATTTCATTAGGGATAATATTTAATTTTACCTGTCTAATCTGCTAGTTATCTTTTACTTTCTCTAAACTTGACGTGGCCTCCTGAGAATTTTCTGCCATTCAGGAATTCCCCTCATCCAAAGGGTTTGGACCCTTGCTAGCCCCAAAAACATTTAGGCCAACTATTTAAAATATCTTATAACACAACAACTTTTTAGAACAGCTGACAGAAAGGTGGAGCGTGCTTCAGAATGGATTGTCTCCCGAGCGAACAATAGCTCCCCTCAAGGAACGCAATTTCGTTCCCTCATTCGCGTAAGAATGATTAACAATAGTGTGAAGGGAGTCGTCTGTTTCGGTTACTTAGCCCTCGCAATTTAATAGCCTTTAACACCGATCGGAAGCGTAGGATGAAGCCAGGCAAATCTGCCCCCCACCCCCTAACTTCCCGTCTGCGTCAGAGACACAAGTACTCAGGAAATGGACCACCTTTTCTTCCGCTACTTTTCGCGCGTAGCTCAGATGTTTGGTTGAGTTGGGTTTTATTATTTTTTTTCTTTATTTTTATTTCACCCTTTCTTTCTCTTCCTTACACTTTCTTTCTTTTCCTTCCTATTTTTTCCTTCTTTCATTCTTTCTTTCTTTCATTCTCCCTTCCTTCTCTTCCCTCCTTACGCATAACACACATTGGACTTCACTTCCGAAAATTTCCTCCTCTTCCTCCTCCTCCACGGTATCTCTTATCTGATGCCTGCTTCTCTCAATTTTGTTTAGAAACTGAAACCATTAAAAGATCTGTCCCAGATTTCCCATTGTCTCCTTCCTTTCAATTTGCCTTTTTTTCTTTCTAGTTTCTGTAGTTTCTTCAAAGTGTCTTCTCACATATCTTAGATCATGTGTTCATACAAATAGTTTCAAGTTTATTTATTTCTCTTGTAATTATTTTATTGTTCCGTAATTTCCTTACTATAACAATGATCTTATTGCTTATTTATTTGATTTTTATGACTTGTTTGGAGGACATAGGTCAATTTGGATTCTGATCTATGCTCCCTTCAGGTTATTCTCTTCAAGGTATTTTGTTATTATTTTTGAAAATAATAAAAGAAATTATTCCACTCCGATATATAAGCATTACCTATCCAATGTTTTGTACATTATTTCCTTCTATTCCTAAATTTCAATTTCATAGAAAAAAGCAAAATTGGAAAAAATCAATATATTTTTAAGGTTGACAGTTTTGAATTATTCAAATGTTCATGCACACGTATTACCAACTAATTTTATTTCTTCATTGTTTTACTGTATGCAGAAATGCAAATAATTTTCTATCTTTTACTTTAGTAATGTATTAAAATTACTTGGTGATGGCCAACTTCTTACAAATGACATGGATGAACTTCGAAAATCTAACCATATCTCATTCTTCCTTTAAAGATTTATTACAAATACTTCCAACTTTCATTACAGAATTCCCATCAAGATTGTAATATTATATATATGATTCATTTTTTAAACATTTGATAATTACATCCAGCTTAATTTAGATGTTCACTGAAGTGTTTCTTTGAAAGAGTATATATAGAATATAGTATATGCTCTTTATATACATTTATTATTATATACATTTCCTCTTAATTTGTTACATCTTTTTTGCAACACATTCCTTGCATCGAATGTAATCTCTGGAGTAATCCTTTGTTAAGTTTTTGTTGTTTTGTCTCGTCTCAGCATGTTGCTGTCAGTCACTGCCTTTTATCCCTTTAGCAAAGGGCTTGGTGCTCTCCCCCAACCCCCAGTTTCCAAGACTTCATGGAGCATAGTTAAGCAACTTGACTAGTGATGTTGGCTTAGAATGGAATTTATGGAAAACTTTTTAATGGAACATTGCTATACCTGTACTAATTATAAAGAATTCGAAAATTAAAATTTGAAGAGTAGAACTACTATTAAATTCTTCATTTCACAACTTTTAAAATATTATCTACAATTATTCATTTCTACTATCATAGCAATGAATAATTTTCAGTAAATTACAAACACACACTGACTATAAATAATTTTTGTTAGATAACAAAAATGTAGTAATAGCCTATGTATCAATCAACTTTCAACTTTTTTTCCCCCTTGGACTAAATATTGTTAATTTATATTCAAAGCAAACTTACTATTAAACAATTTTATTATCTTATAGGGAGTAATTCTAATGATGGAAATGATGAAGGAGAAGAACAGATTTATTGGCTACGACCCAAGCCACCTTCACCCAAAACATCACCAGACTCCTCATCAGATCGTTTGGCTTGGCTTAATCGCAAGTTGAGTAATGGCACAACTAGTACTGGAACAAAACATAAAGTTACCTTTGATGATTCACTTAGTTCCTCTAGTTCAAGGTGAGAAAATTTTAGATGTTTATTAACATGTGCTAGGCAAACGTTGTGTTGTCAAAACTAATCATTAAATGTTTCATAATACGTACATAAAGTATCAACTCATTAATTAAATAAAAATCTAAAATTTATGTTTATGACTCAAGATATTCTCGGCTTATTCAGAACATAAATAATTAATGTTTGTACCCAATTCAAGAAAAACCACGTTTATCTTTCTTGTCCTTTTTAATAATTTGTTTCATGAAATTTTGTGATCTTAGAGTTTAGAAACATATTTTTGGCTAAATAATTTAATTATTTTTCTTCTCAATTCATAGTTGATGACTTGAATTTTCACAGGTGTTAAGTACTCACTATTGTTATTTATTTAAAAAATATGAATTAATCGACTATCTTCAGGATTCTTATGCATAAATATAATTACATAGTGATGTCATCATCAGATTCCTCTAGGCAAGTGATAATGGCGTGCGATAGGAATGTGATAATGACATTGTTCCTTGTACAAGAATCACTGAAAATATTTAATTAATTCATATTTTCTCAATAAATAGAGTGTGATTTGTGCTTAACAGTTTTAAAAGTTTCAGTCTGGAATTAATCTTCAAAAACTAAAATAGAGCGAGAGAAAAATCTAGAGTGACAATGGAAGTATATCTACCCAGTAGGATTTAGGTCTTAGTTTTAGTTAATAGATTACTTCAATTAGGATAACACTATAATTAAAATATTGATTGAATGGGGAAAAAAATAAGGCAAATTCTGTAATTCAGGAAAGGCAAGTCACTACTTTCCAAGTCACCAAAAAGTGGAAGTAAAGGGAAGAACAAAAATCAGAGAATGGGAGATCTTGAGCAGTTGTCAGAATCCGAAGACGATGGAGATTATGCTACTCTGAGAGAGTTACCTTTGATGTCTACCATTCCCTCTAATAGTGAAGACACTGCTTCTGAAGACAACAAGGTAAAGAAACACTCTTTTCATTAAACACTCTCATTTCTTTTAATCAAATAGAAATCTAAATTGGTAGTGTAATTGTGATCAGTGGTGATGTTATTAAATTTTAATTTTTTGGACATTTTATACTCCAAATCTATTCAATTATTTCTGTTTTCTTCATTTAGCATTTTTCATTTTCAAAACTTTCCTAAAAGCAACACCACTGGTCTAAATACACATAAACATATTTTCTTCTAAGTTTCTTACATTATGTGACTACATGCTTTAACTTGCACATCTGTTATTCACATTTTAATCTTTAAATCAAAGTATTTCTCAGCATAAGTGTTTAAATTAAATATTTCTTGTTTATTCTTAATCTGCATCTTCACTAACTGGTGTCTTGAACATTTGGCTGAAACATGTGGGTTACTTACAGTTAATCGAAGCAAGCTTACCACAGGACACTGTGCTTTATGCGTGCACTAACAAAAAACCGCCTACCACTTGTGGCGAGTTTGAAGAACCTAGTCCTCCTGTAACTCCTGAGCCCAATGAAGCAAATACTAATGACCTTCCTCCACCCCCAGTAACTGGTCCAGTTACTGTGAATGTGCACGGCAATGCAGCTCCTGATGCTCATCAGGTAAAGACCTACTTCCTATGCACGAGCATGTAATATCTAGGGCATGGATTTGTAAGTGGTAAATGACAAAAAATGTTAATGGAAATTTGCACTAAAATTTTGAAAATATAAACTTGTAAAACAAAAATATATGTCCAAATTGAAAAACTTTACAAAAAGTGTTTACTTTCACAAATTGGCATTGGGTGATGAACATCATCCTTACACTGTCAGTAGTGAGAAAATGATTATTGTTTTCATTTAGAGCTTTATTACATTTTGAGCATTTAGCTATTTAAATACTTCCAGATGCTTTGGTATACCTCAGCTTCAGCCTCAGTATACCTCAGAGGGCAATGTTGTCATGGAAACAATTTCCAAAATTGTAGAACTGTAATGCTTGTGACTTAAAGATGTTTACATATAAGTAAATGATACTGTTTATATTTCTTTAAAAATAAAAATATGCTCTGTTATTGAATTATTTGATTTTATATGAAAACAACAGAAATATTATATGCTAAGAAATTTAGTAAGTAGGATCCCAAACACAAGATTAGTATTTAGGTATATCAATTCTCGCAAGTCTGTTAGACTTTGAGGGGGAAAAAGATAAAGGTAGAAAAACAATCTGTGCCCTACTCTTAACGATAACAATATTGAAAGAAGTTCTGCAATATTTTTTCCTTGTGAGGATTTGCCAAATGGAGGAGAACAAATGTGAGAAGAAGTTAAATAATAAATAAAAGTCCCCGGCCTGAGTGGTGGGGGTGTAACTTCTCCCAAATCAAAAAGCAATTGATACCTTAATCATCTGTTACCCCTGAATGAAGATTGCTCAGAAATAAAATAAATTTTTGTTCAAACAAAGTGTAAGGATGTAACAGACCTCGGCATATCATTTGAAAAATATTGTACATAAGTTCTACAGTTTAATATATTTAGCTTCTGTTTTCATGAAATTTAATCTCTGATAGGGTTGATAATTCTAGCAATATTTGGAATTGATTGATAAAATGCAAGTAAGACAAATTTGTTCATCATAGAAGTAATTTGTGTACAAATATTATGCTGTTTAATTTGATGTGTATAGTAATATGCCCAAAAGCATGAATCTTGTGGTGCTACAAAATGATTCAATAAATTTTGCTTTTGGTTCTTTGTGTTGAAAAATGTTGTAAATTTATACTTCTCCCGACTGATTCAAAATCTTAGAATATAACTCAGTACTTCCAGAACATGAAAAATTTTATAGCTGAGTTATCTGCAGATGTGAATTGATAAATGGGTCATAGATCAATATCTTGAATCAAATATTTTCGTATCTTTGAAAATCAAACCTCGATTTCATTTAAATTAGGATACAATTTGGCTGTTTTCTTTTATGTTCTAAACCACTAATAAATTCATGAGCTCTCCTTATGAGTTATGTTCAGGACATTGAAAGAAAACCAATTGTCAGAGTTGTCAACATATAAAAATGTAAAAAATCCAACCCAAGGCTTGAAAATGTAGAAATTAAATGTAAAAATCAAACCTAGTTGGAAGACAATGTTGTTGATACTTTCTACTGTATGCAAGCACTTACACATTCTAGAAACTTTTAAAACTGCACTATTTGATTAATATTTAGTATATATTTTTTTCTCCTTTCAAATTTGTACTTGTTCTTTGTCATCTTGTGACAAAATAAGAAACTTCACTCACAATGACCTGTAAATAATATATTGCTTCTTTTACTACTTTGTACTCTGATTTAAAATGTTATTAATAAAATCTATGCAATTCTGTTTGTGTTTGTGAATAAAAAATTAACTAAAATGACAGCACATTTGTAAATCGTATTAAACCAAAGTTGTTACCGATAAATAACAATTGTACCAATAATAATGTAAACCACATGAGCTCTGGGCATGCAAGAATGTTATGATGTAAACAAAGGAGAATTATGTGTTGATAATGATTTATTGTGCAGTTTCAGGGTTCAGTGACTCCCCGTTGCCTGCGCCGAGCAGACTCGGGGATGCCGCATGAGGAGCTGACTCCTCGTTCTGACTCAGTGAGCACCGAAAGCTCTGGCTCAGGTGGCTCCCCACCGTGTGGGAACCACAGCGAGACATCAAGCGGTGTTCACTCCAACAGCAGCGCAGAAGGGAACCCTGGCAACCAAAACCCACCTGGACACCCTGACAACAATGGTCATCTGGAAATGCCTGGCGGCCCACGGCGTTCCACAAGCGTTGACGATTTAACAACATCTCTTGAACAACCACGAGTGCAGCCCTCATGGCGTAGTTTCTCCTTGCAGAGAAATGTAGCTCCTCCGACATCAACTTCTCCTCCTAATGTATTTCCAATGAAAGCAAATAGTGTTGCTATACCAAATGGGAATGGATATGGTGCACCAAATGGATGTGTGGGAAATATGAATAATATGAATGGAAATGGTGGATACGCAGCATCTGGCAGCAATATGACTAGTAATGGGCAGCCTGTGTATGGATTTGGTAATGTTGGGAATGTTCATGCACAGCAATACAATGCCAATATGGCATCCAATGCCGCAAACACAAATGGAAGTGGTGAAGTGGGACCTATGATTGGTGGATGTCCTGCAGTGTTGTTAGAGAGTACAACTGAAAGTACAGTTGTGATTAGACGCAAGAATTCCAGGCCAAAGACAACAGAGAATGGTCAAGTGAAAGAGGAGCCATTTGGACGTTCAACTAACATGCGCATGACTTCTTTCACTGATTCAACGGACAATTCACGACTAGTTGGAAACAAGGGTGAAGCTTATCCCTCAGCATCGTCCACCCTTCCTCATTACCCAACTCAGCCAGTTACTGTACCAGCAGTGTATCCCCATTGTTCTACCATGCCACTCCCAAGTAGTAGCACTAACGTTATGGGGCCAGCTACTAACACCTCACAAAGTAATGGAAACTCAGCATCAGGCAGTTGCCACTCATTCCCCAGGCAACATACAACAATCCCAACACATCATAATGGTGTCAGGTTGTTTGCTGGCCCTAATCCTTATGCCAAACGATTCCCACCTTTTCACCATCAAGGACTGTTAAATGGGAGACCACCACAAGTAATGCTAGGGGCAATGGGATCAATGGGTCCTGTTAGTACCATGGGACCTGTGGGACCAGTGGGTCCCATGGGTCCCATGGGTCCATACGGAACAATGCCTGTGAATCCAACATCAGAGAGTACAGTGCAAAATAGTGGTGTGGCTGGACATCATACATTTCCTCACCTCTCTCACCCAGTGAAGTACAATCCTCAGCAGCATTTACACAAGCAAGATCGAGATTCTGCCAACTTCTCGATGGCTTCAAGTGGAGATTCAGATCAGTATTTACAACAAACATGAGGATTGATGCAACCTCGACAGACTGTTAATCCATTCAAATAATTGATGTAAATAATAAGTACAGATTAGAATATGAAATGTATTTAAAAAATTATCATTGAAAATAAAAAATTGGGATTGACAATGTCATTAAAAATAATTAAGAAAAATTCATTTGTTACAAATAATTATAATTGGTATTATTGAATTGTATAAAATCGTCTGTCAGGTTGCATATTTGTTCATACTTTAACATTTTAAAAATGGTGTAAAATCAAAAGTTAGATATGTTTAAAAAGCATATGGACTAATTAGTTTTTGTTTGTTTTTTGGTCTTCATTAAAAAAGAGAAGCTACTAAGAAATAACATCCTTAGGACAAGTGCTATGTTTCAAAATGTGACAACACAGTATAATTTATTACTTTTAGCTTATTCCTGTGTACAATAATTAAATGTTTTGAAACTCCTCATAGCACTCATATTATTAGTAAATTAAGACTATATAAGATGAAACTTGAGCCATAACAGGAATAATAAATGCATAATAACTTGTAAAAAACTTGAAGAGCAATGAGCTTGTAATCATTTTATAATAAAGTAAACATACCTATGTGAAGATAGTTGTCTTGTTGGAAATATTTTATTTAAAATAATATTTCAGAAAATAAGACCAATACCTCCTGTTGTGGTGACAGCTCTGAATATCATTTGCCAAATCATCTCATTCATATACAGCATGCAACTAAGTTTGCATGTACACATTTTATGTAAAATGCACAATTAGATAGCATACATAAATGTGGCTGCATATATGTGTACTTTGATAGGTAAATATCATTATTTGCAGATTTCTCCTTTGTAGTTTAATTTTCTATTGAAGAGGGTTACAAGATCCATTTTGATGCATTTTTAAAATGGAGTTGCCAGCATTTTTTATGCTGTTCTCCAAGACCATACATGTAAGTCTGACAATTTGGGAATATTAGTGAGTGGTTAGCTTTGTTAGCTTGTTTCTGCTAGGCAGGAAATTGGGACTGCACAAAACGTTTAATCTGCCTTACTTTGGTAAAAGAACAGAACCGAGCTTGCTCTCTATTGCAAAATTTTGACACAACAAGAATTTAGTAGTAGTCAATATTATATACAGTAACATATAATTTTCTTCACAAAATATCAGTTATTTTAATTTGAAAATAAAAAACATTTACATACAACTGTTTGTTTGATATTCAATCTGTTTTAATGGTATTTGAAACTGAACAGTACCATCACTTCATGACAATAAATATGTAACATTAGTCACATTTCCTCTTTTCCAAAATGTAGTGTAGCAAGCAAATTAGTTGTGAGGCACTATAAAAATGCAAAGGGCAAACTTTGAAATTTGAACACCTCACTACAAAGAATGGGTAAAATTTTTTCTAAAGCTGTCTTCACACTAACTTACTGCTTTGCAATAGTTTATTGTTTTTTGTGGTTTTTTTTCAGTTTCATATCTGAATCTTATAGACATTATTCTTTTTTGTTATTTTCACTCAGAAGTGCTTCTATATAAAGAAAACATATTTTTAGAGACAAACCTACTTCTCATGAAAGTAGTTGCTAAATTAGGTTTTTTTATAAATTTTTATTTGTAGTTTCATATATTGCAAATGATACATAGGTTCACCATGAATTATTGTATTAAGTGTATTCACAGAACATTTGATAAATTAATATTAATCAAAATCTAGTCGTATTCATTTTACATTGTATCTGTAATGAAGTGTATGTTTCAATTTCTCTCTCCAGAGAGAAGAAAATGACTGAACCACACTGTGAAGTGGTGTAGATGCAGGAGGAGGCTTTTGTAAAATTCAATATTCATTATCAGTGTTTTGGAGAGCAGTCCTACATTGAGAGAAATTTTGTGTACAAAGTTAAATATGAACAGTGTAGCAGTACTATCAACTTGATACATTTTAATTTTTCTCGTTGACTATATATTTATTATTTATATGATATTATATAATACATGTAATATGGTATATATATAAATATATAGTATTGTATGTACGAGATACTCTTATATATATGGACATACATGTACTTATGTAACACAGAAACAGAGGCTCTGTTTTTGGTAAATGCCTTGCTGCTATAATAATGAAACTTTTCTATTCCATAACATCCCAATCATCTCTTTGGGTTTTTATTCAATATCATAAACACTACCGAGAAAGTGAAAGCATCAGAAACTCTCACTTTCAGAATTCAGAATTTGTGAGGGAAATGGGTGTTTCTCGCTTCTAAACTGGCATTTTAAAATTACATGACCTCTCGGTGTCACCACATTAATAAAGGTGCATATTGGGATACAAATTCTTTTTACTGTTTTAATACAATTTTTCATCAAAACATCAGATATTGTCAATTTCCTCATCTCTGCTAACTTGAAGGAAAATTATTCAGTGCAATCCATACTAGCATATGATGTTGGCCTTGAAGGTTTCTCTTGTATATGTATGTGATGTGTGTATATGTGTGTACATTTATTTAGAATTTAAGTACTGTAATGCAAAATATTTAATATACCTAAAGCAGTCCTGCTTGATTAAATGGTTCATGCTTTTCTCCATCAAGCTAGACAGTGTTTTAAGTTATGTCTGTACAGAATATTTACTTTCAATATTGTAAATTAGAGTTAATCTGTAAAAAATCTGACATAACAGATGTGGTGTATATTTCTTTGTTAAAATGTTCAGAAAACATCCTTTATAAATGAAAATTCTCTTCATTAACATATGACAGTTGCTACCTAAGTCTGTGTACATACTAAAATGTGTAAAATGAACCAATAGAAATAAAGAGGCATCTTTACAGTCTGTCATAAATGTTGATAGATGCAATGAAACAAAAAACCAAAGGATTCTCTTCCTCTTGTTCAGAATGTCCATTCAGTTTTCATTATTACCTTAACTGTTAACCGTGAAGCATGATTTTCTTCCATCTTTGATTAACAAAGAAATATTTCTGAATCATATTGTTAAGTTTTCAGAACGAAATTCTTGTTGATATTTACATAAATCTTATTTGCTTGTGTAAATGTATTAATTTTGGAGTTGCTTTCTCTGCAAATTACTGAAAGTACAACACTGGTAACTTTCATTTACCAAATGGATCATGCAGATTAAGAAACTTCACTAATCAAGTATTCACAAGGAAGGCAAAATGTTAATAATAACAGAAAGGAAAAAAAAATATGTAACATGAAGAGCATCAATACGTCTACATACAAATAATAGACCATACAATTTTGCTCAAAGTACATTTGAAAACTGCTAAAAATTTTTTTAATCAAGATGGCTGAAATGCAACTATGTACCTGTATATTTGTCATGAAATTTACAATTGGACATTCTGATGATATGGAAAGATTGAAGTAAAATAGTTCATTGCAATATTGTGTTGTGTATCAATGCTGAAACCACTCTGTTGGCTGTATTTCTTAATGATATGACTTGTCATTCATTATAACTCAACAATTATTATCAACAGAATTGAGTGCAATTGCATAATAAAGCATACTGCTGAATACATTTCTGTTTTTATTTTGGCACCCTTTTATGTGATAACTGATTCAAACAGTGTTTGAACTAGCCTCTCTGCAGTGCCTCTGACCAGGAGGTCCTAGGAACGAGTCCCAACAGAAGCAGGATTTTTGACATTAGCTAGATAGCAAGGTCAGGTCCAGTCACTGCCTGGAGGAGAATTCTAGCAGTCGTCTGCTCTGATTAGTAGATTTCCACGGTTTCTCTGATCAATATGAGGCTAATGTCGGAGCAGTACCCTAACAAGGGAGCCACGCGCTATGCACAATCTTTCCTTCCTCTTCCTTGTCATAATCTCACCTTTTATTTACACACACTTACACTTACATACACTACACCAACACTCATGCTGGGAGACAAGTTGTAAACTAAGAGCTTGTTGCATCTAGGGCAGTGTCCCACTCCTGGGAGATACCTGGTTGGGGAAAACCTTGCTAGCCAACGGGTAGGTTGGCCTCCGGATCTCACCATCCAGAGGCGGGGACCACTGCCACTTCCAGAGCAAAAAAACATGCACTACACTTATGGATGCAATGTCCTTAGCAGTAGACATGCCCAGAAGCACTAATCAATCAATCAATTTACCTAGCCATCTTCTTAGTTTGTGGTACTTTCCCCCAACTTTTTAAACCAGTTGAGAAAACTCAGGGCTTCAACCATTGCTTCTGCAGTGAGTCTGATTGGGAGGTCCTAGAGTTTTTTTGATGTGTCAGACAGTGATGGCTAAATAGCTAGGTTGAATTCTGCTCCTGTCTGGAGGAGAATTGTAGTGGCTAGCTGCATTGATCAATAATTTTCCGTAGTTCCTCTAATCAATACCAAGTGATTGCTGGAGCAGTACCCTAATATATTAAGCCATGGAGCATGTTCAATCTTTCCTTCCTCATCCTTATCTCCACCTCTCCCTTACGAACATATTCTCACACTTTCACAATTTTATCCACTACACAACCACATATCCCAGAAAATCATTTGGGCTCTTGAGGTATAATTTATGAGGTATAACTTATGAGGTATAATTTGTTGGAAAGAATGAATTGTAGCCAATGGAAAACCTTCATAATTTTCTTTATTAATTTCTTGCAATAAAAAACTTTTTTACTTCTTCACATCTATTACTAAAGCTGGATTAATTACTTCACCCAGACCTGCATCTAAGTCTGTGAGTGCATCTACAATGATGTAAACATAAAATAATGACACCAAAATAGGAATACTATATTCTTTTCTCTATACAGCACTCACAATTATAATGATATGTATGAAAAAAACACTAACCAAGTCAAATTAAAGAACTTAACATCTATATTATTCTTGTTCAAGCAAGATGTCATTCTGAAATAGCAACAAGTAGCCTGTGACATCATTTGAGGACAGACTTATTTTCCACAACAAGAAATGAAAAGGAACAATGAGGATCACAAAAATACTTATTATAACACCATTCATCAGCAATTGCCTGTGAGAATTCAGGAAAGGCAAGTTCTCTTTACTCGAACAAAAATTAATATTTAAGAATTTATGGTGAAGTATAATATATGTAAATGCAATTCATCAGCAAATTCCACCCCCAAAAGTTGCTCTCTCAATCACAGAATTGTTCTTCCCAGAAAATAGAAAACATAAACTCCTTATCATCCATAAACATCATCATCAAATATAGAAAATTGCCATAGTTTAAAATACATGAGAAATGTTTGTCCTCAAATGAGGGAAATGGAAGTTAACATGTTAACCACAACTGTAAACAATGGAAGTTAACAACAAAAGAAGGAAAATAAAATTTGACAGCACAGGGATGTTCACTACAAATCAAAAAAAATCAGAAGTGTGTGGTCATCTGGAGTGCCAAGAGAGACAACCTTTTGGACTAAATGTGTTACATGTTCTACTTAATTTATTTTATGAACAATAATTATGTGAGTAGCAAAATTATGTTTATTGTGAATTGCTTGTGTGTCTTCTTAATTCTTCAAAGTATAATAAACAACATTTTTAATTTTCATCTTAAACCTGTTGGATGTAATTCTGGGGAAATTCATTGCCACATTAGTACATTTATGGGATTTTGTATCCAAGCATTTTAAAAATCATACAAAATTTCCGTCATGTGCTACATATAGGACTTTTTCTCTATTCTATCCGATAAAAAATTAATCAAAATATTTGGAGCCATTTTTTAGAAATTTTTGAAAATGTCCTAGGCTTCATGTAAAGTATCCGCAAAAATAAAATCCCCAAAAATTATAATATTATAATATCCGTTTCAAGTACAGGGGGCCACGGATTGAAGGTGAAATAACAGTTTTGGTGAAAATTCTCCGTACATTTTAGCGACTGTTCACAGACGGACGATCAGACGTTAGTTCTGTTGAAAGTTCACAGACGGACAGCCAAACAAGCGGATAGACGGTCAGACAGAAATACCGTTTTGCCGTATCCAGATTTTCGGTATCAAGAAGCAATAAAACATGGTTTCTGCCTTCACAACGTGTTAGAGGAAGTAATTTACTACATACAAGAACAAGAATTATCTACTGTTTCCGTTTCGGAGACCTACACTTCGAATTTTTCCCCGAAAAAATTGCAATTTTTCGCTGCAGTATTACATAACTCTCTGCATTACGTATGTAGTATGCGAGAAAGTAAAAATGTATTTAAATAGAATCATACATATGTTCAATACTACCATTAATTTGTTCATTTTTATTTATACTTGTTCAAAAAGTTATCTTAAGTAGTTTTCTTGAGTAAATCTGGAAGAATTGTTTCCAGAGAAGGGTACCCCTCAGTCCCTACATCCTGCCTGCCAGAGCCCCACCCGAGGGATGGAGGGGCGGTGGGGGCATGGGCGACCTCCACAGCGGCCGTGAGGACGCCGGCCCCGCGCGCTGGGCGCGCCGCGAAGAAACTCGCCTCAGTGTTATCCTCGTCCAGTGGCGCGACCGGACCTCCGCCGTTTGCCATCGGGGATACCGACCGCAGCTAGACGTCCTTCTTCTCAATGGTCAGTCCTGTCAATTTACTCACTTGTCACATATAGACGGATCAATCGGAGATATTAACACGCCGTTAATCCGGACGTACTATAGTAAAGTAGTGGTGCTAAAATACAATGACCTTTCTCGCCCGTACTTTCACGCAAAATTACGCGAAAATACTCAAATTTTCCAAAAAGGTCACATGACTTTATTTTGAAATATTTCTGTAAGAAATAGATTTCATTAAGTATAAAATCTATATCTGTAATATTTTAGATGTAGGAAGACTCCAAACAACTTTGAACTTTTGCAATTTTCGAAAAATTAAGGTTTTTAACAAACATTAAACCTGCACTATTCTCTTAAACGACCTTCACACTATCCAACAAAAACATATAACCAAAAACATGGGCGCTGGATTTTTTGAAAATTGGGAAAATGTCCCAGGGTCTTCATGTAAAGTACCCCCAAAATTAAAATATCGCTTTCAAATTCAAGGGGCCGCGACACCAGCAAGATCGATTGGGAAAATCAATTTTCAAGAAAATCGACTAAACTGTTTAGCCGCTAGCGTTGTTCACAGACGGACGGAACGACACCTTTTGTCGTCTTTCGTTTTTTTTCAAAACATGGACAACAAAATTTGGACCTACAAAACATGGATTCTGTCTACACCATGTGTTAGAGGATTTTTTTCTAAATTTAACATTTGGTTTTATCCAATTTTTTGTTACCAGGGCCCTATAATAAGTTTTTTTGCCAAAAATTTGCTGTTTTTACGCGCAGCATTACATAACTTTCTCTCTACTGCGTAAGCGGTAGCATGAGAATAGGGCAAGGAAGAAGAACGAAAGATCGCGCGCGGTTCATAGCCCTATTGCTAGGGTACTGCCCCGGCACTTGCCTGGTGTTGGTCGCAGAAATCAAGGCAAACGATAGTTTTCCGTGGTTTCTCCGATCGGAATCAGGCGAATGCCGGAGCAATACCCTGACAAACGGGTCACGGACCGCCCGAGTTCAGTCCTTACTCTTCCTTGTCTTATTCTCACCCCTTACTTACCCACACTTACACATACGTGCACTACAATATCGCATATACCGGGAGACCAGAAGAGAGCTTAGAGATTGTCTCTGCTGGGACGGTGGGTTGCTGATTGGGGGAGATACGTGATTGGGGAAAGCCCCGCAAGACGACGGGTGGGTCGGTGTCGTATAACGCCATCCTACGGAGGAAGATTACCGTCACCTTCCGCGTTAATAACATGCACTGCACTTACGGGAACAATGTCCTTGGTAGTTGACACACCCAGAAACATTAATCAATCAACCATTTAGCTCTCGCTTCAGCACTTACTTCAGTTTACGGTCTAGCTGTTTTTCTAAATATTTGTAAGATACGACTTGAGTTGTACAATTGAACAACGGTTTCACGTCGACCTCTACCAAATGTGACGTATTTTCTCGTTAAACTATTTATTTCCATGCTGCTTGTTTTCACCCAGAAGTGTATCTTGTATCGTTGCAAAATATAATCGCCCTCCTTCGATTTGATAACCCTAATTTATACAGTCAGCAATATGTCATACATTTGAGGCTAAATTTGTCGGCAAAGACGTCTTGTAGGAAGGGAGAAACATGAGAAGTCCAATGGCACTTTATTGTGGAAATCTGGGCGTCACGTTTCCGAAGGTTAATACTGGGAATAGGCAGGTTGACCTTCCTATTCCGACACTGTTTTTCGAGTAACAAAATAGTTAATTTATCCAAGCCACCGCTCTAATGTGTATATAAGAGTCTATTAATATCTTTACAAGACTATAGTGTGGAACAACATCTAATATTTGCCAAGATATAATATTATTTCGTCGACCTTCATCAGTTTCTCTGGATAGGTCTTGTAGAAGTGAGACAAGCTATTCGCAAGAGCAACCGTTCCGGAAACGGTAATCCTGATCCTGATAAAGCCACTCCCTCTCATTTCTTTCAAAATTAGTTGTTCCTTCAGTTTGCATTGACTGATGTAAGGCTTACTGGTCTGTAGTTATTAATTAATGTTTTATCGCTGCTTTTAAAAATAGGCACTATGAAAGCTAGCTTCCAATCTTCCAGGATGCAAGCGATTTTCATAGAGATTCAACCCTGCTATACTGTTCGAGACTACGCAACGCGAAAATAAATTGTTTTGCTCTTACTAGTGAGCATTCTGATCTCGTGATTTTGTTGTACATCTAAAATGTAAATGTATATAAGATTGTTATTGCCTATTTGCTGTAAGTTTGCTAAAAAACTAATTGTTACATATGTACTATCCCGGTCAATGTGACCCGATTGTCAAAAATCAACCGAACTAGAACTATGTAAGGTACAAGTATACAAACTATGAACGTTGTTTTTATAAAATAATGTTACACAGGCGAGCTCACTCCTGTCTCCTGGAGAGAAGGAAGAACATAATCAGGGAATGAAAATGTATTGTAGTGTTGCATCTTTTTCGCACAAATGACAATTTATATACGATTATTTCTGTTTGTCATCGAATTTGGAACAGTTTTAAAAATAATAAAATGAAAATTCTTGATAGAAATGGAAAAATTAAGCCATAACTTGTACCGAAAATAAGCAATAGAAATGTTCAAAGATATTTTTCTCCGTATTATTTGCTGTAAATTATTTTTCCAAGGACAGAAAGAAACTAGAACTTTAGTGCGTTTGACCAAGAAAACAATTTAGTCCCAATGCCACACAAAAACATAATTTATTTGAAACTTGTGTAAAATGAAATGCATTTCTGCATTTCGCATTATTGATCTTAATAAATACTGATTGAATTGAAAAAACAAATATTTTTGAAGACATAGGTATGTCTCCCGATACACTATGGTATTTGTGAAGTATCATACGAAATTAAAAAAACTTGCAACAATGGTGAATTATGGAAATATAATAATTGCTCGTGAATTCACTAGCCATATCGGATAGTTGAAAAAAGTGCACTACAGAGAAAGATACGAAATATAACAATTTATGTTGTATTTGTAGAGAAACATATTTGCACCAGCAATTTATTTTTACTGATATTATAACAATTTAATTAAGTAGTAATAATTGAATAACTTACATTAATACTAAAATCACATGTAACGTATAATAATATTCCACTTTTAAACAGGTAAATCTGACAAATACTTTCTTTTATCATCGCTAGTGTGCAAAACAATGTTCTAGGTCGTGTAGACCCGAGCAGTACAGCCGTATATAGTAAATTCGAACAGTTTGGTAGGATTAAATAACGTAATTAGATACGGTAGAATAGCCTTTCCACTTAGTTAAATCATGTCCATGGAAATATATCCTCGACTTCGTGATTTTCCGCTTTTTATTAATTTTATTATTTTTTCCGCAGAGTAGTTACATTGATCTTAGATTTCTTCTAACAACATTGCTTGAAGCAGTCGCAACTACAGTACATGGTCCTACCAGGAATGTCATTAAAACAAACATTAATGTTAAAATTTAAAATGAAAGAAAATGTTTTCTTCAATGTATTCCAAACATTAATTTCATCCAACCTTCCAATAATTGAAATTCCAAAGTAACAATCATCAAAAAGAACGATGTGAAAAAATTGGTAGCATATGAAATATTAAAAATAAAGTTCATTAACAAGAACAAAGCGCGACTTACTGTGACTATAGAAACAAGCCAGCATTTGAAAACATTACGAGTGCAAGGAAGGGGAATGAATAGTTGAAGATTTTCCCCAAGAATAATTCGAGATCATTCATCAAGCCAAATGTGGTGGTAATTTTCAGTTATTATCTTCAGTTAATTAATTTCCTTCTCGGTAAATCAATGTAACAAAAGCATAAAACAGAAAAGGAAATCGTATTTTTCTATTCTCCTGAGATGTTCGAGTATTTTCAGCACGCCTGTTGCCTCGTGTATTTTGCTTCTGAGCCTAGGCGTATTCTATATTAAAAATACAACGATTATCCAAACCGATCGATAGGGTAGGTAGTGTTTTAAATTGGTCGGCACATTCTCTAGATATTATATCTTAAGATTTCTTTCTGTAGGAGAAATTAAAAAACAAAACGTTGCGAATGATAGAGCCCATCACTCCAGAAGGCACGTTATAGGTGCAGGAGCGGATCCTGTCGATCATTTGGTGTGTATTATTTTGGTAGTCTATATATGATACTATACAATATTAGTTTTAAAATAATTACATAATTGTAACATAAATATTTAAATAAATTTTGCTAAATAAAATCGTGTAACAAACGAAAACTCGAGGCTTTTTGGAGGGGAAACATGACCCCCAAGCTCCCCCGAATACGCCACTGTACAGGTGTTACGAAGCGCGAAACATTGCAATCAGTTCGACAGCCTTTGCAGTCACGATCACAGATATGTATTGCTGTTGAATTTTTGTAAATTTTCGTTATTTCTTCAGTTTTAAGTTATTTTTTCAAGAGTTTTCTGTGTCATAACTTAAGTACACTGATATACTTAATAGGAAGTAGTCAAGATGTAGAAGAAAAGTATCCATTGTCTCCTTCGCTCCTTGCCTCCCTTCTCAATGTAAAGGTCTCGGCGCCGCGAAGGTCACCTGCCTCGAAGGCGACCGCTGCAAGGGCTGTTAAAAGGGAACATTGCCCTACCGTAATAAACTGTATAACATTTTTAATCGTGTCATAAATATGAATGGATGAAAACCAGAACGGTATAAGTGACGTTTTTAAAATTCAGTGAAAACTGTTTATTTAATTCAACATTACTATAAAGTCGTGGTACTTTGTTTCATCGTTAAAACCAGGGCATTTCAGTTGTTCATGAAAACCACGAAATTACATTATGACTGAAATATAGCCCAAAATAAACACGTTTTTCTCAGAATTTATAAAATGTCACTTATACCGTTCTGGATTTCACCCATTGTTTTACTTTATACAATAACTTAACAGCTTCTCATACCTCTTTAAAAATGTACATGACACAATTTAAAAA